ACCGAGTTCCAAACTGCCTCTGGAAGCAACGTCAACACAATAACTGTTTGTCGGGAGCTTCATGAAATGGGTTTCCATGACTGAGCAGCCGCACACAAGCCTAAGATCACCATGCGCAATGCCAAGCGTCGGCTGGAGTGGTGTAAAGCTCGCCGCCATTAGACTCTGGAGCAGTGGAAAAGCGTTCTCTGAAGTGATGAATCGAGTTTCACCATCTGGCGGTCCTACGGACGTATCTGGGTTTGGTGGATGCCAGGAGAACGCTACCTGCCCGAATGCATAGTGCCAACTGTAAAGTTTGGTGGAGGAGGAATAATGGTCTGGAGCTGGTTTTCATGGTTTGGGCAAGGCCCCTTAGTTCCAGTGAATGGAACTTTTAATGCTACGGCATAAATTACATTCTAGACGATTCTGTGCTTCCAACTTTGTGGCAAGAGTTTGGGGAAGGCCCTTTCCCATTTCAGCATGACAATGTCCCCGTGTACAAAGCGAGATCAGAAGAACTTGACTGGCCTGCACAGAGCCCTGACCTCAACCCCAACGAAAACCTTTGGGATGAATTGGAATGCCCAGGCCTAATCACCCAACAACAGTGCCCGACCTCACTAATGCTCTTGTGGCTGAATGGAAGCTAGTCCCCGCAGCGACCTCACTAATGCTCTTGTGGCTGAATGGAAGCAAGTCCCCGCAGCAATGTTCCAACATCTAGTGGAAAGCCTTCCCAGAAGAGTGGATGCTGTTATAGCAGCAAAGGGGGAACCAACTCCATATTATTGCCCATGATTTTGGAATGAGATGTTCGACGAGCACAGATTCAACCACAAAGACCAGGGAGGTTTTCCAATGCCTCGCAAAGAAGGGCACCAATTGGCAGACATTGAATATCCCTTTGAGCATGGTGAAGTTATTAATTACACTTTGATTGGTGTATCAATACACCCAGTCACTACAAAGATACAGGCGTCCTTCCTAACTCAGTTGCTGGAGAGGAAGGAAACCGTTCAGGGATTTCACCATGAGGCAAATGTTGACTTTAAAACAGTTACAGAGTTTAGTAATGGCTGTGATGGAACTGAGGATGGATCAACAACATTGTAGTTTCTCCACAATATTAACCTAAATGACAGAGCGAAAAGATAAAAATCCAATATGGATGGTGTTAAGACATAGATGGGAGGTGTTGAATGGAGCTGAAGGATGGGACTAATAACAGCTAACAACAACTAATAACAACAAGATAACTAATGTAAAGCATACTGTGTCCATAATAAGTATATAGGTTATAGGTTGAGAGCTTTTGTGAAAGAGCACAGTTAGAAAGATATGGCATATAGAAGCAAACCGGATGGACATCATGAAAATGATTGGAGAGGTTGAGGGTAGAGGAAGTTCAGGAGTAAAAACAAACAAAATAGAATTATTGTAAAATTGACTGTGTCCATAAAATGTATATAGTATGTATAAGCTGGAAGTAGAGGCCTAAGCATTGTTGTTCACTAGTTTACTCCAATTAGGGAAGGGGTGGTGGGGTTGTAAAGTAATAAAGGGAAATATATATTTTTAAATAAATATGTATTTAAATATGTATGTATATGTATTTATATGTATATATGTATATATGTATATGTATGTATATGTATATATATATATATATAAATATATATATTTGCGAGAGAAAAAACATATGGGGGATTGGATGTGATGCAGACAATTACATTGATGGAAGCTACAATCTATCTGCAATATTAAAGATGATCTACCCCCATTTAAAATAAGAAGAAAAGAGACACATTCACCTTTCAGCAGGACAGTAACCTAAAACACAAGGCCAAATGTAGACTGGAGTTGCTTACCAAGATTACATTGAATGTTCCTAAGTGGCCTAGTTACAGTTTTACTTAAATTGGCTTGAAAATCTGTAGCAAGACTTGAAAATGGCTGTCTAACAATGATCAACAACCAACTTGACAGAGCTTGAATAATTGTTTAAAGAATAATGTGCAAATATTGTACAATCCAGGTGTGCAAAGCTCTTAGAGCTCTTAGAGAATACTTATGTAAATGAGACATTTCTGTATTTCATTTTCAATACATTTGCAAAAATGTGTAAAAACATGTTTTAATTTGGTCAGTATGGGGTATATTGTGTAGATGGGTGAGAGAAAAAAATATATGTAATCCATTTTGAATTCAGGCTGTAACACAACATGTGGAATAGGTCAAGGGGTATGAATACTTTCTGAAGGCACAGTACTTAGAAATGCCTCATGAGCTTATTGTAACTGTTGTACCCCATCAGAATCCAAAATGTAATCTTGTTTTAAATTGTTTGTAAACAAAATAAATGTAAACAAACACTGTATAGCCTCAAAACGTGGTTAAATCTATAATTTTGATATCATGGATGGTCATTCCTTGCATCCATAACTCTGTCTATGAATTTGAGAGTGATTCAATTTCTCCAGCCCCATCCCTCAGCCTTTTATTGTTAACAGATGCTTTTTATTTTTTCAACTGCTGATTGGCCCTTTACATTTCTGAATCTGGTCAAAATGATGTTATTTGTATGCATGGCAAGTAAATACATTATTCCATATTAAAGGAAGCTACTAATAGAATTATCTTTTTATAAGTGTTTGATATGAGGCTGTTTTCTCAGAAAGGCAATTCCAAGTCTTGGAATTGCTCTCTTCAGGAAACAGCTTCAAGCTGTAGTAATAAGATTATTTAATTATTCCATGAAAAAATGTAGATTACATTATTCCATTTGATTTTTTTCATGAAAAATACATAACTCATTCATTTTAAAGCTGTCATTGTGACAAAAAATCTCTATATGTACTTTTTTCAAAAAAAGTCCTGTTTTATACAGTGGTTCACAAATGGTCTTCATATTAAACAAATAACTACTGTACTCATATTGTTGGGATATTGGAAGCAGGGTGTTTACATGAGTTGAGTTAATTGAATCAGCGACTCTTTCAAAATACTTGGCTTCAAACTCAACATCTTCAGTGCTATTGGAGTGTTTCATTAGAACAACACCCACCATGTACAATATCAATCATGTTAAACAAGACGTAGTGAGAGGGTCCTACTTTAAGGACGCAGAAGGAGGGACATTGTTGGATGCAGTACTGTTGTTTTTGGCCTCCACAGTGCTAGCTAATGTGTACATTAAGATATTATTCACATTATGATTTTTTTCTGTTCTGTTTCAAAGATGGGATGAATGTGACCAGTGCCTGATGTCTGAGTATGTCTTGAAATGAAGTGCTCTCTGGTGTATGGGTAGGGTCATGTCGGAATCTATGGAGGCAACATCTCCTGCTGAACACATGTTATTTCATTATTATTTTAAATTTTTTTATTATGACATTAATCTAAATAACATTTTATACTGTTGTGAAACACATCAACCTTCATCGATTACATATGCCGTATTTGCTGTGAAAGAAAGGAAAAGACATCTGGTCATGATTTTGGAGAGAATAACCATAAAGTACAGATGTCGTATCGTAATTTGATCATCCTGTTGTTGCAGGAAACGCAAACTTGTATAGCCACAGGAAGTGTGTGTGTGTGTGTGTGGGGGGGGGGGGGGGGGGGGGTGCTGGGGAATGTTACTCCAACATACTACAGATGGCTATGTTGGAGTAAAGGCCCAGTGCACTACTTTGGGAAAATATATTTTCAGCACCCCATCTTCCCGCGGCTATGAACTTGTAGCATGTAGTGTATTCAAGGTTTTAAAAGGCTTCTAAAGTTTGCAATTTCCACTTTAACATTTCAGACTTGATAACCCTAATGATAATTGTATCAACCCCTATAAAAACATTTCCATTAATTCTAATCCACACAACAAATCAGATCTCCTGTTGCTGCAAGATTATTGTCCTGTTGTGTGAAACTGTGTGTGTGTGTGTGTGTGTGTGTGTGTGTGTGTGTGCGTGTGTGTGTGTGTGTGCGTGTGTGTATTTGTTAAAGATGACATCTTTAATAATATTCACTTCAATCAAGTGGAACCAAATAATTCATTTTCACTGCTGCAAGAATTTAATCTCTCACTCTCTCTTTTTTTGATGTGATGATATATCATATAATGTTAGCTGTTCACTTTTCCAGATGTTTATAACCAGTTTTCTGCAAGAGTATGGGAATTGGCAGCAGAGACACTGTAATACTTTCCAATCACTTTCACTATGACCTTTACAAGATTGCTGTCATCAAAAACTCTAAGTGTTCTCAAATAAACAGGATACAATGTGATTTGAAATGAAACTAGCGTGATTTTATTGACTATCAAATTTGAAGACATATCCAAAAATGTGTCATACCCCATGTGACCTAGAATTGTATTAACTTAATATGTAATTTAGTTATCAAGTGTGGATAAAAGGCACCATTGTACCTACAATTTTGGAACTCATTATTGAACATTATTGAGCCCGATTCATGGCTTTGCTCTTCTTTATGGGAACATATGGTTCAGTGTGAACAACAAAACTTTGACTTGTACATCCCTGAGCAGTAGTAGTAGTGGAAATATAAGTTATTGTTGTAGTACTATGTAGAATAGTAGTGTAGTGTATTAAGATTATGTCTTTGTTAAATGTTTTTCATGAAGAAATGGAATGTTGGTTATGTTAGTATCAAAAGGCAATGTTTAGTATAATGTCACATACAATAGACAGGAAGTGTGTTGTAAACTGGTGATTGGCCAGAAGAGGGAGCCCATCTTGTTGCATTGTTTATAAATAGGGGTACACGAAGAAGAGAGGGCAGAGCAGCCATTAGAATTGGAGGACACTGCTCTCCAGACCTCGCGAGTCTGTTACTCATGCTGAAGCTTGTGATCTGAATAAACCTTATGATCAACGTTCCGTATGAGCAGACTCCTTTTGTTCATCAGCAATAATTGCCACCACTCACTCGATACGACAGTAGTAGTATAATGTAGTAGTAGTAGTAGTAGTAGTGGTAATAGTTATGTAATAATAATGTTCTGTCCATTGCAGGCTAGGCATTTGTGCTTCGTCCTCCTCCTGTGCATCCCTTTGGCATGGGCTGGCGTCCCTGGTCCGTGTCGGCACTCTGTGACAAAGGGTCACCTCCTCAACCTCAATCGCCTGGTGAGGACACCTCATACCACACTAAATCATACAGTAATATCAACAGACTCTACAAACAAAAAATCTACTTGAGATATAGTTGCTTACAATCACTCAAACTGTCATATAAGTCATGCCTGAATGTATTGATGTTAATGAAAGGTTTCCTCCCAAGTTAGTAAATGTATTATCCAAATGTAGGATTTTTCCTTCTGTGACCCACAAACATAACTAATGAGAACAATATGTGGCAGATGTGAATTCTCTATGGCGGCATGACTACCCTCACTATCATCCTGGAGAATCATATCTACCCAATTCCACGCTTCTGTTTTACATTTCACTGTTTGTATCTTTGTTTGCCACGCAGATTGACAATCAGTTGGAGAATGGCTGTTCAATAACCTACGTATTCACTGAGCTCCAGAGTTTGGTGAGTATTTCCTTCCTACTACACTCCAATTACATCTTTCACAACAAAATGAATTTGATGTGTGCAGATAAAGGATGTTATACCAAAGATTTGCACAACATCACAACCAGTCACTGTCAAGATAGTCTTGTTCTTTCAAGATGTGCCAGGCTGGCATACTGATTCAAACGAATGCTCTCACTTCTGACATTACAGATCCAAGTTCATCACATCTCTTGCTCCGTCCAGCCTTTACGCAAAAATCTAATTATATTTAGAAGAAGAAACATAATCCCATGAAAGAGACGGGTTTATCCCCTGGAAGGGAAATGTTTTGAAAATACCTCTGAACTGTGCCAAGTTACATGAGATAGATAAAGAGAGGGAGCTGTGTGGCAGTATGGAGTCAGGATCCCCGCCCCCAGTTTAACTTGTCACCTATCAGGAAATGGTTTATGGGTTAACCGTTTACTGCAGTGGGCTAAATCAGAGTCACACAGTGTTTCTTGGTAGTCTTAAACAAAAGTATACACCTCACACACATGGTTATGGGCTTAAAAAATAAGACCCCTGTACGGATGTTGGATCACCACCTCAAGCTGAATCTCGGCAAGACGGAGCTGCTCTTCCTCCCTGGGAAGGACTGCCCGCTCCATGATCTCACCATCACAGTTGACAACGCCATTGTGTCCTCCTCCCAGAGTGCAAAGAGCCTTGGCGTGACCCTGGACAACACCCTGTCGTTCTCTGCTAACATCAAAGCGGTGACCCGATCCTGCAGGTTCATGCTCTACAACATTCACAGAGTACGACCCTACCTTACACAGAAAGCAGCACAGGTCCTAATCCAGGCACTTGTCATCTCCCGTCTGGATTACTGCAACTCGCTGTTGGCTGGGCTCCCTGCCTGTGCCATTAAACGCCTACAACTTATCCAGAACGCCGCAGCCTGTCTGGTGTTCGACCTTCCCAAGTTCTCTCATGTCACCCCGCTCCTCCGCACACTCCACTGGCTTCCAGTTGAGGCTCGCATCTACTACAAGACCATGGTGCTTGCCTACGGAGCTGTGAGGGGAACGGCACCTCCTTACCTTCAGGCTCTGATCAGACCCTATACCCAAACGAGGGCACTACGTTCATCCACCTCTGGCCTGCTAGCTCCCCTACCTCTACAGAAGCACAGTTCCCGCTCAGCCCAGTCAAAGCTATTTGCTGCTCTGGCACCCCAATGGTGGAACAAGCTCCCCCACGACAGCGGAGTCACTGACCACCTTCCGGAGACACTTGAAACCCTACCTCTTTAAGGAATACCTGGAATAGTATAAAGTCATCCTTCTACCCCGCACCCCCCCATAAAAAAAAAGAAAAAAAAGAAGTGGTTGTCCCACTTGCTATCATAAGTTGAATGCACCAATTTCTAAGTCGCTCTGGATAAGAGCGTCTGCTAAATGATGTAAATGTAAATGTACCATGTCAGATATAGAGTTGAAATGTATTCAATTTTTAGTTTGCATCCCAATATTACACTTTATATACATCACAAAACTGTTTGACATAGAAACAATGGATTTTCGGCAGGTTTTTTGAAATAATGTTGATTAATTACGACATTATGAAAAATATTGATAACATTCCACCCATTCGGCCACTAAGTCATTTGACTGTAAGAAAGGGCTACCAAGGTCTCTGAAATGGTGAAGGTCTGTTTAAAGGTTGTGCCATATACTACCACGAGGACCTGTTGGTAGGTAGCTAACTTTTTCTGCACCTCCATTTCAGTCTAGTGATACAGGAAGCAAAATCATTGTCACTAAGAGGAAACGACTATCTGTTGAGTCATGAGTGACTTTCCAGGTCTGCTTTGGAAAGGAAGTTCAAACTCAATGGAAATCTGTGTTTAAAAAATGCAGTGACGATAGGTTTCTTTTTCCTTTGAACCACAGAGTGAAGTATGTTATGTGAAAGCAGCCTTTCCACAAATCCTGGAGCTTCTGAACACAAACTTCAATTATGTCATGAAGTCAGACAACGGGCGTTATGTCAAAGCCCTGAAGAAGGTCATATACAACCTTTACTCCCAAAACTGTATACCTGAAATCAACGAGGAGATTGAGGTGAGTGCTACCTACTTATGATCTTTGCTACTCTAGTCTGGGAATAGGCTTAGGTAAATCTCTTCCAAAGGTCTGTTGGATTGTGCCAGACAGCATAAATTACTTCTCAGAAGTAAACAAAGTGAAACAGTGCTTGGGAGGTTGGTACATGCAGTGCAGCCTTATTAAATTGGACCATTTGAAAAGGCATAGTAGTATGCAGTGATGTTAAAAAGGTTTCTCTTAAATTACAATAGGACATGGTAACTCTAAACACATTGTTTTATTACAATATGGCTCCTTAGATATATATTATGTTCTTGAAACATGTTAAGCTGTTCAGTGGTCATGGTGGTTAAATAGATCAATTAGATAAAGTAAGGATAAAATACAATCAATCAATCAATCAATCCAGCTTCCTCAGACCTCAAATAAACTCAATTTACAGAGAGTACAGAGGAACAGTCACCAATATTCAATTTAGCATTGAATTCTTTCTTTAAGGATATTGTGACCCCAGATATGGCAGGGTTAATAGAATATGTTTTACAGTACGGAAAAAATGTGATCTGTATTAATAATAATATGCCAATTAGCAGACGCTTTTATCCAAAGCGACTTACAGTCATGCGTGCATACATTTTTGTGTTTGGGTGGTCCTGGGGATCGAACCCACTACCTTGGCGTTACAAGCGCCGTGCTCTACCAGCTGAGCTACAGAGGGCCACATTAAGTTGGCTTGGGGAGGTGGTCCTCTGTAGCTCAGCTGGTAGAGCACGGTGCTTGTAACGCCAGGGTAGTGGGTTCGATCCCCGGGACCACCCATACACAAAAATTTATGCACGCATGACTGTAAGTCGCTTTGGATAAAAGCGTCTGCTAAATGGCATATTATTATTATTATTATATTAAGGTAGCAGGGCCCAGGAGACAGCAATGCACAGCAGTCACCGTCCATAACCCTGCACACTTCAGAATGCCAGTAAGTCTGGGCAAATCATCTTCTGTCTATATTAGATCAGTGTTAAATTAAGGTCAGACATGAGACTGGTGCCTCTGTATGTCTCTTGGTACCCTGTGATGCTGGTATCAGACAATGGTTTCTCTTCAGGCGACCCCTGTCTCTTAAGGGAACGCTTGTCCAACATCTACACTGTGAAGTTTGGGCTAGCTAAATGTGTCTGTTTTGTGAATGGCTGTAGTCTTATCCAGTATCAAATATTAAAATAACCCCTATATGAAACAAATTACTTGACTCAATCAGAGTGATTGATTGTATAATTTCTCAGCTGATTTTCCTCAAACAAAATATAATTTTTTACTATTTTTTACCTTTACTTTCCGCAAAGTAATTTGTCACGAAACCCTTTCAAACTTTTAAATACTGAAGACTTATGCCAAGGTGGCCAATAGCCAATGAAGTGGCGTTGGAAATAGACACTTACATTTTGTTTCTAATATATAATTATCTAGAATAGCCTTCTCCTCTTGCAACTCCCTTCACAGGGATCTGAGTTTTCATTACTGGAGTTGATCAAACATTCATTAGGCATGAGGCATTAACTGAGTGCTATTGAAAACAACTTTAAAGTGTTTCAGGATGTTTTGAATTGTTAGTAGAGAATGAATGTGACCCATCCCGTCTCCTCTCTCTCTCTCCTCTCATCTCTGTCACAGGACAACCCAGTGAAGTTTGTGAGGGTGCACAGCACCTTGCCCAGAGAGGCTCTGAGGAAGGCCCGCGGGGTCATTGAGATGTACATGACCCTGATGACCAAGAGCAACGGGCCCATCAACTGGAACTGTGAGGAAGAGTATGCTGAGGATTACCCAGAATCCGCCACTGCCCTCCCCACCCAAACCACAGGTAGAGTGAGATTAATGATACTATCCATTAATATCTATTCTAAGACAGTTGAAGTCATTTTGTAGTGTTTTACTGGGGGTTTCAGTCTCCCATGACTACCAAAGACTTAATTGATTGTTATTGCTGTTTGTCCCCCGTATTGGAACCTTTTATGAGCATAGGCTGGAAGGATCATCTTTCATTTGGAAGTGTTGGCTTACACGTTATGAGGAACATATAATATTATAGCCCATGTAAAAACCAGTCAAGCCCTAAATTACCAACAAAAAATCTGGGAAACACACACCTAAACAATGCTTCCTTTTCAAAAGCCAGCAAAGCTCCCAGCAATGATTTAGAGATTTTGTGTACGTGTTTACTTTGTTTAGGAACAAAACATTTTTGCCACACATGATTACTCCAAGCTGTTTTCAGACTGATCTCCTAGACCTATTTACCATATTCATGACCATGTTAGGGGACAGTTCAAGGTGTCCCCCCAGAAAATGCACCCCCCTCCCCAACATAAAAAACATTTTCACATGACCTTCCCCTTGTACTGAAATACAATTGCACATATAATTAACTTAAAATAATGTTTACCACCACAAATAACAATAAATGTAATGTTTATAAACATGGACATCAACTTTTCCACTTCAGCATGCTTTTGTTGCACAGTCGATGACACGCAGGGCTACGGGCCAGAAGGTTGAGGGTCCGCTGACCACCACAGACGAGCTCACTCTCCCTGCGTGTTTCATTACACTACAGTCAGAGCTGGCTGCAGACAATGATCAGCTTGGGGGAAATCAGATTTTCACAACTTTCATGCCATATTTATAAATGAATAAAATATATATGCAACAAATGTTCCACCAACATGTTTCTGTGCCAATGCACCACTCAACCAATAAACAAAGCATACCGACTTTGCGCACTTCGATATCATGGTTTGCGTTTTCAACATCACAATAAATAGACTGTCAATCGCGACAAAGAGGCAATACATCCTTACCTACCTTGAAGGCCTACCCAGTATTGAAGGCTTGGCTTGACAATCTCCAAATATCATTAAACTTTGTGTTTTTTTACAGATGTCTCTTTCCATTCAACAAATGGCCGCTTCACAGTTTGGATTGATTGATTTTATTTGTCAGTTAAAAAAATATACATACAGTGGGGAAAAAAAGTATTTAGTCAGCCACCAATTGTGCAAGTTCTCCCACTTAAAAAGATGAGAGAGGCCTGTAATTTTCATCATAGGTACACGTCAACTATGACAGACAAATTGAGGAAAAAAAATCCAGAAAATCACATTGTAGAATTTTTTATGAATTTATTTGCAAATTATGTTGGAAAATAAGTATTTGGTCACCTACAAACAAGCAAGATTTCTGGCTCTCACAGACCTGTAACTTCTTCTTTAAGAGGCTCCTCTGTCCTCCACTTGTTACCTGTATTAATGGCACCTGTTTGAACTTGTTATCAGTATAAAAGACACCTGTCCACAACCTCAAACAGTCACACTCCAAACTCCACTATGGCCAAGACCAAAGAGCTGTCAAAGGACACCAGAAACAAAATTGTAGACCTGCACCAGGCTGGGAAGACTGAATCTGCAATAGGTAAGCAGCTTGGTTTGAAGAAATCAACTGTGGGAGCAATTATTAGGAAATGGAAGACATACAAGACCACTGATAATCTCCCTCGATCTGGGGCTCCACGCAAGATCTCACCCTGTGGGGTCATAATGATCACAAGAACGGTGAGCAAAAATCCCAGAACCACACGGGGGGACCTAGTGAATGACCTGCAGAGAGCTGGGACCAAAGTAACAAAGCCTACCATCAGTAACACACTACGCCGCCAGGGACTCAAATCCTGCAGTGCCAGACGTGTCCCCCTGCTTAAGCCAGTACATGTCCAGGCCCGTCTGAAGTTTGCTAGAGTGCATTTGGATGATCCAGAAGAGGATTGGGAGAATGTCATATGGTCAGATGAAACCAAAATAGAACTTTTTGGTAAAAACTCAACTCGTCGTGTTTGGAGGACAAAGAATGCTGAGTTGCATCCAAAGAACACTATACCTACTGTGAAGCATGGGGGTGGAAACATCATGCTTTGGGCTGTTTTTCTGCAAAGGGACCAGGACGACTGATCCGTGTAAAGGAAAGAATGAATGGGGCCATGTATCGTGAGATTTTGAGTGAAAACCTCCTTCCATCAGCAAGGGCATTGAAGATGAAACGTGGCTGGGTCTTTCAGCATGACAATGATCCCAAACACACCGCCCGGGCAACGAAGGAGTGGCTTCGTAAGAAGCATTTCAAGGTCCTGGAGTGGCCTAGCCAGTCTCCAGATCTCAACCCCATAGAAAATCTTTGGAGGGAGTTGAAAGTCTGTGTTGCCCAGCGACAGCCCCAAAACATCACTGCTCTAGAGCAGATCTGCATGGAGGAATGGGCCAAAATACCAGCAACAGTGTGTGAAAACCTTGTGAAGACTGACAGAAAACGTTTGACCTGTGTCATTGCCAACAAAGGGTATATAACAAAGTATTGAGAAACTTTTGTTATTGACCAAATACTTATTTTCCACCATAATTTGCTAATAAATTCATTAAAAATCCTACAATGTGATTTTCTGGATTTTTCTTTCTCATTTTGTCTGTCATAGTTGACGTGTACCTGTGATGAAAATTACAGGCCTCTCTCATCTTTTTAAGTGGGAGAACTTGCACAATTGGTGGCTGACTAAATACTTTTTTTCCCCACTGTATATGCACACAGTACATGCTGCTTACAATGCTCAACCTCCAGATGAGTATGAGGGGGGAGTTTAAGTACAAGTCTTACAATCTTGTTTTGGATAGTCTGTAGCTTATTCTTTAGATCACGTGTCAAACATAAGGCCTGTTGGCCGAATCCGGCCCATGACACATTTCTATCTGGCCGCCCAATGATTTGGGTTGTCAATTCAATTAGGCCCGCTTCCACACAGCCCACGGCGCGCTGCACTACAAGTCTCAGCAAGCACTGCCAACGTGTTGCACGCCAAATGAAATTGCCAAACACACACACACAACCCTCTCCTCCAAGACCCATAGTTGCAGGAAGTAGTGGTGCTGAGGGTGCAGCAGCACTTTTTCCCACCTTTTTTTGTTTTTTAAGCTTGACTTTGAACTACCAAAAAAAAAAAAAACACTTCAGGTGTTGTTCAAATGACCCATGGGAGTGTTTTTTCAACACCCTCAGTATTAAGCAGCAACACCTTTCAGTGTTGAGGATCATCTCTAGAGAATGCATCCTGTAGATGAATTGACACCAGGAAGTGCTAAATATTCACACTAGGAAATAACAATTTTTTGTCTGGTTCTCTCCCACTCATAAATCAAGCCTGCAAGTTGTAGGTGACTTAAATTCCTTATAAGAGTAGTGACTCTGCTTTGTTTCATTTATTTAGGCCAAAGTGAAAACAGTGCATCACAGACATATTAAAATGAAATATGTGCATCACAGGCAAATCAGAATTATATCCGTTCATCACGGGCGCCCCAGAATGAAATCAGTGCATCACAGACACATCAGAATGAAAACAGTGCATCACAGGCACCTCAATACATGTACAGTCGTGGTCAAAAGTTTTGAGAATGACACAAGTATTGGTCTTCACAAAGTTCGCTGCTTCAGTGTTATGAGATATTTTTGTCAGATGTTACTATGGTATATTGAAGTATAATTACAAGCATTCCATAAGTGTCAAAGGCTTTTATTGACAATTACATTAAGTTTATGCAAAGAGTCAATATTTGCAGTGTTGACCCTTCTTTTTCAAGACCTCTGCAATTCGCCCTGGCATGCTGTCAATTAACTTCTGGGCCACATCCTGACTGATGGCAGCCCATTCTTGCATAATCAATGCTTGGAGTTTGTCAGAATTTGTGGGGTTTTGTTTGTCCACCCGCCTCTTGAGGATCGACCACAAGTTCTCAATGGGATTAAATTCTGGGGAGTTTCCTGGCCATGGACCCAAAATGTTGAGGTTTTGTTCCCCGAGCCACTTAGTTATCACTTTTGCCTTATGGCAAGGTGCTCCATCATGCTGGAAAAGGCATTGTTCGTCACCAAACTGTTCTTGGATGGTTGGGAGAAGTTGCTCTCGGAGGACGTGTTGGTACCATTCTTTATTCATGGCTGTGTTCTTAGGCAAAAATGTGAGTGAGCCCACTCCCTTGGCTGAGAAGCAACCCCACACATGAATGGTCTCAAGATGCTTTACTGTTGGCATGACACAGGACTGATGGTAGCGCTCACCTTGTCTTCTCCGGACAAGGTGTTTTCCGGATGCCCCAAACAATCGTAAAGAGGATTCATCAGAGAAAATGACTTTACCCCAGTCCTCAGCAGTCCAATCCCTGTACTTTTTGCAGAATATCAGTCTGCCCCTGATGTTTTTCCTGCAGAGAAGTGGCTTCTTTGCTGCCCTTCTTGACACCAGGCCATCCTCCAAAAGTCTTCGCCTCACTGTGCATGCAGATGCACTCACACCTGCCTGCTGCCATTCCTGAGCAAGCTCTGCACTGGTGGTGCCCCAATCCCACAGCTGAATCAACTTTAGGAGACGGTCCTGGCGCTTGCTGGACTTTCTTGGGCACCCTGACGCCTTCTTCACTACAATTGAACCTCTCTCCTTGAAGTTCTTAATGATCCGATAAATGGTTGATTTAGGTGCAATCTTACAAGCAGCAATATCCTTGCCTGTGAAGCCCTTTTTGTGCAAAGCAATGATGATGGCACGTGTTTCCTTTTAGGTAACCATGGTTAACAGAGGAAGAACAATGATTTCAAGGACCACCCTCCTTTTAAATCTTCCAGTCTGTTATTCTAACTCAATCAGCATGTCCGAGTGATCTCCAGCCTTGTCCTCGTCAACACTCTCACCTGTGTTAACGAGAGAATCACTGACATGATGGCAGCTGGTCCTTTTGTGGCAGGGCTGAAATGCAGTGGAAATGTTTTTTGGG